GGTGATATTGACCAAATGCCCTGGATTTACACATATTGCTCTCTATCCATGACTTCTGTCCAGAGTGACTGATGGGAGATCAGCAGTTTCTGTTTTGAGGCCTTTGTTTCTGACCTGGACTACGGAAGCCACTGCTGGGGTCAGCATCTGAGGGAGTCTCTACCATATGAGGACTACCACCAGCTGCATATGTTCTAAATTTCAAAATCCAAGGTTCAGAAAGTGCAGTCAGTGATTTGAGAAATGACCTGGATGAGAAAAACTAAGTGCAGATTCCTCAGCCACATATAGGCCACACAGACTGGTTGACATGGGTACATTACTTTGTCTCTTTTGACGTCCATAAAAGGAGTTGAAGAAATCCTCAACTATGGGCTAGGGCTGGTTACATCATAATCACCTGAGGCCACTGTCAAAGATTAATGTTCCCACAATTTACCACATTTCTGTGTCAGTCTCCCAGATGTGACTGTGTGTGTGTTTTCTCACCAGCAACCCAGATGACTCTGAAGGGCACCTGAGTTTGGGAACCATTGCAGTAGATGCTCTCTTCTGATGCTAACAGGTCACTAAGCCTGCTGTTGTATTAACCAGGTTTGGGGGGGGGGGGCGGGGGGGGGAGACTGCATGACCCCTCCCAGGGACCCCAGGGACCCCAGGGAATCTGAGGAGGGAAAGAAGGTTACTGCCTCTAATGCCTTTAATGTGTTCTCTGCTGTCTCTTCAGTTCCTACCACAGGAAGGCAGCAGGCGCCACTGCTCTACTGGTCTAAACCATAGTTCTCTGTTGTCCCAGAGGCTCTAAAACTGGGAAGGAGGTCCCAATCCTGCTTCCAGGTTTTCATGGGGGTGGAGAAAGGCAGAGTGCTGGGGGAGGGGCAAGGGCAGTGTGTTAACAAAGTGACCATTTCATCCCCCTCCAGGAGGAAGGTTTTTCCCTGTCACTGCCTCACATTTGCAGTGGTGCAGTCTGTTGCCTTGGAGACCAGCTAACACTTCCCAGCGGGGTCTGCTTCACTGCTTAGTTGCTTAGAACTGGAAGTGGGAACCGGGAAAAGCAGAGTCCTGGGATGACAAGGAGCCCTTCTCCCAAAGATGGGGAAATGAGAAATGCAGGTGAGGGTGAGTATCACAAGGTTGACAGAGGTGGTACAAAAAAGGGTGTGGGAGACACTAAGCTCTGGACAGAGAGAAAAAATTTAGGGAGGCTGGCGTCTTAAGCATCTGTTTCCTCCATGCCAGGCACTGTGTCAGGTGTTGGGGGTACAACAGTAGACAAGTAATAGGGCCAGTCCCGACTGTGACAACTTGGTGTGAAGTGGGGGAGGGGAAAGAAGGGACAACTGGAGAACACTATTTTCTTTGGGACTTGGGGATCAGCAAATTGGCTTCAGGGGAGACCTTCTGAGTTTTCTTGTCAAACAAAAAGGGCAAATGACATTTCTAGAAGTAGGTCCAACTTGAGCAAAGAAAGGCATGAAATAGCAAGGTATGTGTAAGTGTTGCCAGGGACTGTAGAAGGATTTAAGGTAAGACAGAAAGGTGAGCAGGGAACAGATCCTGAAGCAGTGCTGAGCCTTGCAAAGAAGGTCCCAGGTGATTATCCAGGGCTCTGAGGATCCACGTCTGCATCTAAATAGGTAGCAAAATAAACAACTCCACATACAGGAAAAGTCATTATAGCTGCAGAATGTAAAATGGATTGGGTGGGTCAAGACTAGAGGTTATTTGGCAATTAAAACATACAAACCCTGGGATGGCTTTGTCCTGGATAAACATTTAGGAGAATCTGAGATTCAGCTGCCAGCAAAACAGGAAGTTAGCTGAAGATTTTCTTTTATCCACTAATCAGGGCTACCTCTCTCCCCTTGACCAAAGACAATTTTGCATGCTCCCTTCCTATGACCACTACCTCAGGGTAAGCTGACCCACCTTTGTCAAAACCCTGGACCTGTCCTGAGTACATTTATTCAACAAATATTTTCAGGGGAGTTACTATGTTCTAGGCACTGTTTTATGCAAAAGCATTTTAGTAGGGAACATAACTAAGTTCCTTCCATCATGGGTCTGTCTTTTAGTGGATTTATGGGGCCAGGAGCAGGGAGAGACAGATAATCACTAAATAACATGAGATGATGAAACATGGCAAGGAGGGAAAAAAGAAAGCAGGGTGGAGGGGCTACTGAGATGGGGTGCTCAAAGAAGACCTCCCTGATAAGATTTTATCTGCACCAAAGCTTGAGCTTAAGGACTTTGTTCCCTTCACCACAGCCTCCCCCAGTGCCTGCTCTGTCTAGCACCTAGTAGGCACTCTATAAATGTTCACAGAATGAAGGATTGCTTAAGTATCATCTAAAGTGCTTGAAGAGGCAACACTTGTAGAATACCGGTATGCTGTATTTCTACAGATGAAGAAACAAACCAAAGGGCCAGTGCTCTTTCTAAGCACACTATGTTTGTTCTATAATGTTCCTCCATGGGCCACAGGCCTCTGACTTCCTTAAGTGTTAATCCCTCACTGAAAATGGAACTGAGACACTGTGGGGTGTCCGCTATTTATGGGGTGTTTCTAACAGTTTTTGCCACTAGAGTCTCCCAGCAAAGATTACTGATGTAAAGCCAGTTTGTTTTTTTAAGACATTGCCACATTATCTTGGTGCTTTCCCCCAAAACAAAGCGTCCTCCAGATAAAAGATTAAAGACCCAAAAGAGAAAAGCAAGTTGCCACATCATTAGGCTATTTAATGATTTCATAAGAATGCACACTCATGTTCAAGCTGTATCTTCATTTGGAGTTTCTCACCTGCCATATCTTGCCAGTATTTTTTTGGTTGCGAATAATAAAAACCTTAATGAGCTATCTTGACAGCAGAAAGTGAAGTCAGTTCTCACAAGTGCCTGGGATCAGTAATTAGAAATTCAAGACACAAGGCAATTTCTCAACCTCCTTCTCTCCCTTCACCTCCCACCTCAAAATATTTATCATCTGCCAGTCCCTGCTCTCATGTCAATTACAACCTAATGGGAGAGAGACACCAATTTTTAAAAATTACGTTAATGAGTGTATCATTCTAAAGTGCATTGAAGGAAAGGAACATAGTTCTCTGAAAGTTTACATAGCACAAAGGAATCTGAATAAAGTGGGATGCTGGAGAAGATGTCCCAAAGAAGTGACATTTGGGCTGCAGTTTCAAGGAGCAGGGGTGGGGAGAAGAAAGTTCCAGAGAAAAGGCAGTACATGAAAAGGTCTGTGGTTGAGGGAAGTGCAGCATTCCTGTGAAGGGGAGGGTGTTGTGAACTCAAAGAGGGTCACAGTGGTGAAAGGGGAGGGCTGGAGGGTAGGTCTGCAGCAGCCAGACCACATGAGGCCTCAGATGCCACCATAAGGATCTTACTCTTCATCCTAGAAATGAAGGGAAGTCTCTGAATAGTGTTAAGCGGGAGGGAGAAGAGATGTGGCATTGGATTTCTCTCTTTACAAGATCATTTGGGCTTTAATAAGGAGAACAGATTGGATGAGAGGACTCAGCATATAGGGAGGCCAGTTAGGGTCTAGTAATGTCTGTGGCAGAAATGACTTGTCTGGAAAAGAGAAATGGCAATGGAAACAGGCAAGTGGAGAGACAGACAAGATCAGGTGATGGATTGGATATGAATGAGGCATCAGGAGTAATTCCTAGGTTTCTGACTCATGAGTAGATGGATGGTGATTCTTTCCCCTAAGCTAGAGAATAAAAAGACTGTAGGTTTGTAGAGAATATGAATTCAGTCTTGCCAAGTTGAATTTGAGGTACTCATGATGGAAATGTTCAGTGTTGATGAACACCCACTTCTGGAGTCAGAGATCTGGGCTTTTGACACATAGTTGAGAGTTGTTGTTGTATATAGGTGGTAGTTCAAGCCATGGCAAGGATAAGATCCCCTAGAAAAAGAGGAAAAGGTTCACAATTTAGCCTCGAGGAACACTGACTTGAAATGCTCAGGAGAAGAGGAGGAGCCTGCATAGGAGACTGAGAAGGTGCAGTCAGAGAGTGAAAAGGAAGCCTGAGAGAGTGGCCCCAGGAACCAAAGCCGACGATGACCACTAACTCTACTTTTCTCTGAGGACAGTCTCTTCCTGCTTCTGAATGGACATGGTGGCCCCACAACTAAATTCCAGTTCCCAGAGAATCTGATCCATCTTGGATGTGTGTCTACCACTGATTCAGTAAGCTGTAAGGAGCAGGTTGTAGGACTCAGCCCTTTAAGTGCAGATGTAGTTCTCAGAGAAAAAATTTCAGTATTTTCCCTCTCCCCTCCTTCTCAGAATTGCTATGGCCACTTGCTGTCCTCTGTGCCTCATGCAGCCTTTGTTATACTGTTAACTCAGCCACCTCCTTTTCATATTTCAAGAAGGTCAAAGCTCAGAAGACACCTTTACTGCCCACCTTACCTATGCAAAGTAGAGCCCTTTCCTGATGACTGTTTACTTTCCTGATCCTGTTTACTTTCTGTATAGCACTTTCTACAATTTGTAATTAATATATTTAATTTTTTAAACATCAGTCTCCTCCTCTAGAATCAAACTCTGCAAAGGACAAGAACAACATTAGCTTAGTGGTTCTCAACTGGGGATGATTGTGCTCCCAGGAGACATCAGGCCATATCTAGAGACAGTGCAGGTTATCACAACTTGGGGGCAGGGGTGCTACTGGCATCTAATAGGCACAGTCCAGGGGTGCTGCTAAGCATCCTACAATGTACAGGGCAACCTCACAACCAAGAATGTCAAAAGGACCAAGAATAAGAAATCCTCATTATCTTGATCACCATTATATCCTCAGCACCTAACACAAAGTCTGATACCTCATAGGTGTTTGGTAAGTACTTATTGGATGGATTAGAGGAGAGTTGAGTTGAATATAGAGAACTCCAAGGCTGTTGTCTCAGTGTTGCACTTACCCTTCTCTTCCCTGGAATTATTTTCCTCCCTAGGAGAACAAGGACTGAGTGTCTTTATAATGGCAACACAAACTAGTCATGTCTCCCACGATCAAGATAATAAATATCTAGAAAATCACTGGTAAGCTTCTCTCTGATTTTGCAAATAAATACAATGACAATAATATTTTGCCCTGGGGAGTTGAAGCAGGAACGGACACCTGCCATATAGTGAGGCAGGTAACTCATCATTGCATTATCTCATACCTGAGGGCTTCAATGATCCACCAGAACAGTAGAGTAAAATTTCTCATGAACCCAGAGATCATATTTTATTAGGACTCTACAGGAACCCTCCCCACTTACCGCATGGAAATAAAAATTTTTTTAGAGGTACTGTCAGTGTGGAATCAATATCCAGTGCTGGGACATTGATCAGATCACTTTGTTTTGTAGCACAAAGAGAAACAGAGATGCAAAGAAGCAATTGATCCAGAAGGATGTCAGTGAACTTGGCCAAAATCCAGACGATGGACTGCTAGTTACACATATTAATCAGACACAAGACTTACTGGTAAAAACTTCTGTGCTTTAACTGAGTCACGGTGTTTATAGATCATAGTGAGGGAATACAGAGTGTGTCCAACTCTGGGTATTCTCTTCACATAGGATCCCAGGACTGAAAAAGATTAGTTAAGCATTTATATCTAATCCCTCACCTTTAGAAATGACCGAAGAATGTCTATGCTGTTTATAGAAATTTTGTAGTTCTCTGAGGCATATCATGAAATGTTCAGGAGCATGTAAAGAAGACTGTCCACACTCTCAAAGCCTGAAGTCTAAGAAATTGATTTCTAAAATTCCCCTACCTGAGATTTGTTAGGTTTTTTTTAGGATTCCCTAAAATCTAAATCTAAAAATCAGTTTCACTAATTGCTGTTGGAGCAAGAGAGTTATGGAAGAATTAACCTCTAGAATAACCAGTACTATGTTTCAGGCTGACTCTCAATGTGTAAGCCATCTTCCCAAGATGGTGAGTGGATTGTCTAAAACTCAGAATTCTTTTTACCATAGAAACGATTGTCTTGTTGGCCTGCCCCATAACCATGTTGGAGTTTAAATATCACACCTGTGAAATGATATCAGTGCAAAACAATACAGTTTTAATGCTGGCAATTAAACAATCAGGAAAATAGTCATGTCTTACTTTTCCTGAGCATGGGCACTTATGGAAAAGCAAGTTTAATTAAGAGAAAATGAGGAAATATCAATAGAGTTGAGATTCTGAGGGATTCTTTCAATGACCTCAGATGTTGATGATATATCTTTATTTCATCTAATATAATATAAATACATGACTTCCCAGGTGTACAAGGACCAGCCCTACATTTATCAGCCATAGTCAGGGCCTTCTTTGCCGTATAAGTGAGTGGCAGTGAGAAAGAGGGAAGGGAGCACCCCAACACAAAGATCTTAACTATTCTCTTTGAAAAGTTTAACCTTTAGAATGCAATCATTATGCTATAAACTCAAAATCCAGAATGTATTTAATAGTGAATCTTCAAATAGTAATAATACAAAATCAACTTTCCAAAACCTGATGGATCATTTCAAATGCCGGTAAACTGGAAGAAAGTTGGGTTGCATCTGCCTTGCTCAGTGTTATCACTGACCAGTGTGAGTCCTGAAAGATGAGAAGGGTGACATCTAGCGTTCATATGTTAACAATGTTTCATGTGTTTCTGTAAGTGTGAGACAGGACGATGGCTTTAGGCAGTTCAAAGGCAGAACACTGATTAACGGAGAATCACATAATGAGAAAGTGATCTTTTCAGTCCCTTCTCTCACAGTTCCTAGTCAAGATAGTCACAATGTGGTGCTAATTTAAAGACTGTATGTATTGTGATCACAAACATGACTTGAGCTTTTCTGTTTGGGTTTGAATCCCAGCTTCACCACTTACTAGCTGTGTAACTTTGGGCAAATTACTTAAACTTTCTATACCTCAGCTTCCTTGTCAGTAAAATGGGGTTAATGATAGAACCTATGTTTTAGAATTAAATGAGTTAATTTATGAAAAGTTCTCGACACATAAGTGCTATTTAAATGTTTGCTTTAATTACTAGTATTTTTCACAGTTCTTTAATACCTGCAATTTCCTTTTGAAATGAAGAAAGTAGGCCTGGGGCACAAAACTTAAGGTGCAATACTCTCCTGCTGGAACATAATAGCAGCATTTTATTGTTGTTGTCTTTGTTTTGTGGTTACCTTCCACTATTGTTGAGAACTATTTATGCAGAAACATTCGAGGCCCTATTCTGGACCAAAGCTTTAGACACCCATCTTACAGGCAAAGGAAGAGTTGCTCAGCATCACGAAGCTAGTAAATGGAGAACTCCATTGGTTTGGGCAGCAAATTTATGCTCAGAAACAGGTTGTCATTGCCAGTAATTTATTTAACACAAGTTAACTGTGGGAATTATAATAATTTCACAAGCCAATAGCAACAGGATAATGTCTCTTAATAAACTAATAAAGAAATAACACCCTTTGAATGAAATTACATTTATTTCAGGCAAACAATTTAAGGGAAATAAAGTCCAAATTCAGTGGACGTGTACCTTTCTGCAAGCTGGTAAGTTGATTCTCAGAAGAGTCAGCTTAGTTAACCAAGAGCTGCCACCAGGGCAAAGGGAAAGTTTCTTGTTGTTAGAGCACATTGTTAGGGAATGATGGCACTATATGGGTGGCAAGATAATCTCTCTCCTGGGGCTGCTGCATGGTTTTTACCATCCCTGGTAAAGAGTCGTCTCACCAAGGCAGGAGCTAATGCCCAAGGTCATCAAAGGGCTGGGTAGGTCAATAGAGTCCCCTTGCCCAGACTGAGCACTCTCAGTGAGTCCTCACAGACTCTTGCATTTAAATGCTAAATGTCCCATTACTGTAGCTACTTTTCCACTGCTAAACCCCCAGCAGTGCCCATCATCCACTGAGCTACTGTTGACCAATAACAGCAGGTATCATGACATTTTGTCAGCATCTTGTTCTGCAATGTAAACAACTTCACTCTTAGATCAAAACAATTTCATATGATTCATAAACAAGTGCACTTGAAATCACCAAACAGTACCACACTCCTTTCTTCCCTCCTACTCTTCATTCATCCTATTACTCTTCCTCTCTCTGTATTCTCTGTCCTATCCTGTGTAGCTCAGTCAGCTACAGTGGATAGTTCCAACCTCTTGTCCACCACCTCACCCACTGCAACAAAAGTGCCGACAAGTGCAAGCCCAAGCAGAACCCACTTAGGGTTCAAGCAGTTGCCCAAGAGCAGCTGAAGCCATCCTGGTATCTAGACTACCCAGTGGGTTAATGGTGCTCCAGGCCCATTCCACACTCATCAGATGCTAGAGGGTGGTTTCTCTCACTGTGGGACTGAGCCAGCCTCCTATTACGATGCCATTCTGCACCCTGAGTTATGGCCAACTTTGGCAACATTTAAGATCAATTGTATCACATGGACAGCAGTGGTTGTGCTGGGAACTCTTGTAAAATCCCTGTCTGATCCAGGCCTTGCACACCTTTCCAGCCTCTTCACGTGTCACAGTACCCTGTATTTTCTACACTCCAACACTGCGGGCACGTTTCTGTTCTTCAAACCCTCTGACACACACACACACACACCCCCCAAACCCCATTCCTCTGACTGGAATATGCGTTCAAAGCTATGCACAGGGCTGGCTTCTTTTGAACTTATAGGTCTTGGCCCAGAGAGGATAAAGCGATCTCTCCATCTCCTCCCCAGTCATTTTCTATCACACTTCCCTGTTTAATCTTCTTAATGGAACTGTTTCTTTCTGGAATTATGTACATTGATTTCATTTTCTTCCTTACTGTCCATTCATCTACACTAGAATGTAAGCTCCAAGAAGGCAAGAACATTTCCATCTTGTTCTAACATCTTGTTCCATTGTAGCTCTAGCACCAGGGACAGTGCCTAGTTCAGAGTAGGGCTCAGAAACACTCACTGGAGAATGAAAGAAATGCCAGCCTCCAGAAGACTTGAACAGCCAAAGTGAACTCAGAGCCTCAGGTCAGCTTTCTCTACCTTCTGGTCCCCAGAAAGCGTCGCCAATGTTGAATGCTCACTGTGGATGACTTTAACTTCACCCATATTCCCACATTCCGAGCTTAGCACTATGAAAGTGATGCAGGTGTCACTAAGTCCATTTCATGGACAGACTTCTGTGGTGGCTAGAAAATTCTTCCTCTAAAACTGTCACCTGCTGCTACTGCTTCCAGCCTCTGGAATGGACAGGATAAACTCATTCCCTCTTCCATTAGTCAGCGAATATTTGTTGTTGACCATCAGACTGATAGGGAGGCAGAACTTATCCACCTGAAATGACATAGAGAAGGCAAGGTGGAAATAAACAGAGACCACCCAAATGAAAACAAACAGGGAATTTATTCAGAGTTTTCTCTAGCAAAAGTCAGCCACCATCACTTGTGTTTGGCAGAGACTCAAAGGCTGTCAGAGGAGTGAGAAAGCTTCATAATGAAGAAAGGGAGGCTCCAGGTGTGCTCTGGAGGAAGCTGTCAGCAGAGGCAAGCTGGAGGCACCTAACTAGAAGCCAGGCATTTCATGTGATTGGTTTGCAGGCATGTATGACTTTCTTTGGTTGGTCCCGAGCTGAAAGCAGAGGTATAAAAATAGGAAAGCTGGCATCTTTGACCGAGTCTTGACCCTTGCAGGTCAGTTGCTGCAGAGGTTGCCAGTTGGAGTTTCATTGTCAAGTATGGTCTGGCTGCTCTATGCGTGCAGACTCAGTCTCTCACAGGCAGGCCATGCTGAGTGGCCCTTGAGTTGTCCAGCTGCTTGTTAGACATGAGATGGGAGAAGGGAACTAGACTTCCAGGACAGCTGGCCCAGAGCACAGGTCTCCATGTTCCTCTGTTCCTTCAGCAATGTGAGATCTTAACCAGGCTGCTTTCAGGTAAGACCATCAGAGTTGGTGGCTCTTGGGCACCTATGTGGAGAGAGCCTGGCACCTAGAATGTCCTCAGCCTCACTCTCTCTTTCCATGGCTATTTGTTTGACTCTGGCTCCATCTCACAGAGGCTACAAGAATGGGAGATCCAGCCCTCAGCATGGGATGATGCACATGATTGGCTTTCAACTCACAGTTTAAAGTTTGAGAAGCTCACCTTGGCTGACCTGATCTGTCAGGGCACAGCTGTGCTGTAAGTCTGAAGCCACCCCCTCACCCTAAGCCTGCAGTGACATACCTGGCTCCCTGGGCCTGAGAGACCCCTTCTTAGGCATTGCTTCTTCAGGGAGGACAGCAGTGCCGTGAAGAAAATGCAGTTCTCACCCCAGATCATCCGCCAGTTCGAAGCAAAGCTTTCTGAGTAAGTATGTTTTTTAGTGTGTTCCCAGCAGCCCTAGAACTCAAGAAGTACCACCTTTCAACAGCTTGAAAGTCACTTTGTTCAGATGACAATCTCTGTGGGACTTTAGGCAGGTCTTTTCCCTCTTCTAGACCCAATTTCATTTTTTCTGACATAAAGAAGTTGGATCATATCAGTTTTTCTCAGCTTTCTAAAATTGATGGTTTCTTTGGATAAACACATAAAACCTCACAGCCTCATTTGATGTGTAGTTGTTAAGAACGACCACTTTCAGTAACCAATGGATTGGGTTCATGCTTTTATAAATGTCAAAATATGCAGGTTCCCCACTCCCAAGCCAGATTTTGGTCACACATGTCTGCATTCCATCCCGGCTATGCAGTCTGTGACCCATGATTACTGTTTGCCTGAGTTTACCTACAAAGCTATAGTAATAACTAATAGCTAACATTTGTTAATGTGTCAGAGATTCTACTAAGAGCTGCATGCATTATTTTATTCAATCCTCAGAACAATTTGAAATATAGTATTATTCTAAAGTTAACTAAATCTCAACTGCTAAATGACTAATTTGCCAAATTTATCAAAACTCTTTGACTATAAATTTTATAGTAATTTAAAGTTGGAAGGTTTAAAGAGTTTTTAAAGAATTCTGCAATATTTTGGTTGATTGGTTTAATTGTGAACCCAGCATTTTAAGGAATGTTCAAGTCCATTCAGTTAATTGGTCATTTGGCAAATTGATTCTCAAGTAAATTGACTTGGATAAAGTCCCATTATTGTCTTCTTGTTGGAGATGATGAAACTGGGTCTCAGAGAGGTCACCACACCTGTTTAAGGTCACTCAGCTAGTAAATGGCAGGTCTGGGTCTCCAGGACATACCTGTCTCATTATGAAGCTCATACTCATAGCCCTTTTATATGCGTGTGTGCCTGAAAACTCTACACCACCCCCTGCCCCATGATTTCATATCCAAAGGCCTTCCTTGCCCTTCCCTAAGATCCCAAAGCTCAACAGCTCTCAGTGAGGGCAAGTCACTTATATTCCAGTGACTGAGTCTTTAGGTTCAGCACCTGTTACATGCCGGTCTCCAAACAGCCATTGGAATTGTTTGCGACTAATTTTTTGGAAACTAAGCTTCATTTGTTCATCAATACACTGAGAAAGTGCTGCTGAACTGTCTCGCATGTGCCTTGATGATCATCCTCCCCCGAAAGGACCAAATTGTGAAAAGCAAGAGTATTCTTCTACCTTCTTCATGAGAACACCCTCGCCCTCCACTGCCTTGCCTGCACTTGGTGCTCACTCTCATTCCTGATTCTCATCCCACCAAACCACAGCTGCCTGTAATGTGCATGGCACCACCAAGGAACTGCACCCACACAGAGCTCTTCTCACAGCCCCTCCAGTGTGTATCTCTAGCAAACAAGTACCTTCAGTTTTCTCTGTTAAATCTGCCTTATATTCTCCCAAAAACTGAGACACGTTAAAAATAATTTCATCCACGCTTTCCTCCCATGTAAGTGGCTGTTGCTCAGTAATGGAGCTGTTCTTGAGTAATAAGTTTTTCTGGTGTTTTGACAGAGCTATAGGACTTTATCAACAGAGAATTCAGTGGCTTACAGAAAACAGCAAAAAGGTAACAAATATGAATTTCATTCTTTGCCTCCTTTCACTCACTTCTGTATTTGTTAGAACCCTTTCAGGTATAAATTATAGACCCCCAATTTAATTTTACTTCAGATAAAGAAGAAATTTCTTAACCTACATAAGTGAGAAACCCAGACACAGCTGTATCCAGGGGCTCGAATGATGTCACCTCTTTGTCTCTGGGCTCTGCTTTCCTTGGGTTGGTTTTATTCTCAGAAAGGCTGTTCCCAGGCTTGGGAAGATGGTCTTCAACAGCTCTAAGCTTACATGTCACCAGCTAGAGTGACATACCAATAGACACCCCATCTACCTTTCTCAGTACACCTTCCCAGGTCCTAGGATCAACTCTCACTAGGCCAATTAGACCAATCATCATCACCAACGAGGCAAGATATACTAACTAGCTAGGACTGGAACTAGCTTATTCCTGGGGAAAACCAGGGGGTGGGGGAAGAAGGGGAGTTTGGATAACTCTCCCCCACTCACCAGACCTCAAAGGGAGGTAGATGGTTATATGTAGAAAGCCAGAGTGTTGTTACCAGAAGACAAACAGCTCTTGGATGGATGAGAATAGATGTGCCTTGGACCATCTAACCACAGACCGTTAATGAGATTTATAAGACTAAGGCTGATAATCTGCAGGTAACTTCTACTGAACCTTTGATTAAATGTCTTTCTCAGCCCTGGAGTGTACAAGAGTGATTATAGGCCAATTAATCTTTGCTTTGCTCTTATATTTGTTTTAGCCTATTTTTCTCCAGTGGGTGCTTTTCTGGTTCACCATTTTCTTCCACCTTAGGCATTTTCTGCAGAATTTTTCGTTGTCACAACTGGTAAGGGAGGGTGACAGGGAAACTTCTAAATACCCCCCAGTGCACAGTCCAGCTCCCTGTGAAGGGGAATTATCTGGCACAAACTGCCAACAGTGTGGCAGCTAGAAACCCTGGTATAGGCACAGTAGAGAAAGAACTGAGCACTCACCCAGTGCTTCTCAAATGTTATTTTTTTAAGGATTTTATTTATTTATTTTTAGAGGGAGGGGAAGGAAAAGAGAAAGGGAGAGAAACATCTATGTGCGAAACACTGATCTGTTGCTTCTTGTACGCACCCCAGCCAGGGACTGAACCTGTAACCCAGGCATGTGCCCTGACCAGAAATCAAACTGGTAACCCTTCACTTTGTGGGATGATGCCAACTAATGGAGCCACACCAGTCAGGGCTTCTCAAACACTGTTGTGCAGCCAAATCCCCTGGGGGTGGGAGGATCTTATTAAAATGCAGACTCTAATTAGGTAAGTCTGGGATGAGACCTAAGATGTCTCATCTCACAAGCTCTCAAGCGATGGTAATACTGTCGGCCCATGTCCAACACCTGTAGGAACAAGCTCCCTGGGGGTGTCCCAATATTTAGTCTTCAGGAAGAGGAGGAGAATTTGGTAAAGGAGATTGAGGACTGGCCAGTGAGTGGAAAGGTGAGCAGGAAAATGTGGTTGTCCTGAAAGACCAGTGTACTATTAAGTGTTTCAGTCTGTTTCAAATTGTGTCCTATGCTAGTTACTCAGAGTTCCAGAGAGTTGAGAACTTGGATTTGACAAGAGCAAGGTCATTGGTCACCTTCATAAATATGGCTTTAAATGATGAGGGGAAAGTCTAATGAATGGACACAGAGAAACTGTAGATAAGGAAGCATTGCTGAAATGGAAAGCAGAGAAATGGAGTAGTAGCAGGAGAGATGGGGTCCTGAAATGTGTATTTCCTTGTGTGATGGGCAGTAGAGAGGGAGGAACCTGGTAGTCTAAGAGAAGGTTGATTATAGGAGCAAAGTACCTATTTGACAAGCCAGAGGGTTGATTGCAGGGCTTGGAGAGTTAGCTTTAGATCCATAGTAACAGGAAAAAGGCAAAATGTGTGGGCACAGGGTCAGGTACGCTGGTAGATTCTGCAGGAAAAATTAAAAAAAAAACAACTGCTACTACTCTTCAGTTTGTTTCTGTTTTCTCAGTGAAATTGGAGACAAAATCACTTGCTAAAAGAATGCAGAAAGGAAATATTGAAGGTATGAGAGGTACAAAACACCTCTGTGAGCAGGAAATGGAATTAAACAGAAAACTAGGTATCCAGTCATGCAGGATTTAAGGCAAAAAGCATGAAATGGAATCCACCACCCCTGAAAAACTATCAGTTTCATATGAATGAAAATTCTAATTCACAGTGCAGCTATACAGGATGAGTAGTTACATGCAGAATCCAACAGCATCAACAGGTAGGTGGCAATAGTGGTTAGAAACATAATTAGAAACTCACAGAAATACCAGGACAGCCAGCAAGCTTCACAAATCTGCCTGTGATGGTGGAGAAAGAAAATAAATGAGGATCCAGAGAAATGAAATTAAATATGCTGATGTAATGTCAACATAAGAAACGTCCAGATCTGTAATGATTTTTGTGAGTGTATCTGAGCCAAATTGTGACTCTTGCTGGGAAGTAAAATCTCAATGGATTGAGAAAATGCTCCAGAGAATGGCAGTTTTGCACCTTATTATACATCAGAATCAAAGAAGAAGACGTAAGGGGGTTACATGAAATTCATTGGTGGTAGACTAGGGAGGCAGGAGAAAGCAAAGTGGAGAAATCTCTGAGATTGCATAAAAAGTAAAAGGAACAGACACATACACTGGTGGGTATAGGATAGTTAACGTTTAACAATTAACATCATAATAATAACAGTGAGAGGATGTGTGGTCTCTGCTCTGGTGTGGTGGTTATGCTTTGAGGGGTCTGGACAATTACCATCTAAAATTATAGAGGCCCAGAAAACAGTAGGAGTCTCATAAGTAAATTTCCCGTGTCTCAGCAGCAGTTGTAAAGGGCCAGGTTTTTATAGCCATTTCAGCTTCAGTCTGAATTAATATAGTTAGTTGTCCTTGTTGGGTTAGGGAGTAAGGACATTCTCATAATTGGGTTCTAGTGTTTATACATAAAATTCCTTTATCAATATTCCTTTTCCACTAATGTTCTACAACTTCCCTTGTTCTTCTGGACAAAAGGAAATTACTTTGATATTCCAAAGGTTTGTTATCCAGATATGTTACAGTAGATGGAAAAAGACAATAGATAGACTCAGTTAAAGCGAAGATTGGACTTGGTCAGGGAAGTTACTGGCCTAGAACATGACCACCAGCCACAAACTTTCTCTTGTTAGGAAGTTTTCTTTTCAAACCATCCCTTGGGATTACTTTAGGTCTCTGATCTGTAAGCCTGCCACACAGGCCTCCCCTGAGCTTGTCAGGTTTAGTATGTGGTTCTCTTTTTGTCCACTTGTACCCCTTTTGGTCCTAAATCAATCTGAAGGATGCACAGACGACTAAACTTTTTGTTGGATAATGAGGTCCCATGTGCTAGGAAGGCTCATTCCTAGGAAGTCTCAGTGTCAGCATTTGTCTTGCTGAACGATGGACCTGTGGGGATGGGGCAAGACCATAACCTTGGATGGAAGTCCAGGCCGAATTTTTTCTCCAAACTGAAAGGCAGGTAAGGGGAAGGAGACAGTCAAATATTATGGGCCTTTGCTAAGAAAAACACTCTGGATATTTTCTAACCTATAAGCTGTTATGACCCAGGTTTTGCTGTATCACATCTCTGTAGTTTGCATCTAGTATAACATTTACTTATAGTTTGAGGGCACACCATACACCTCTTCAGCTTTCACAATCTGACCATAAGATGAGTACCCATTTACTATGGCTCATCTACTTCCCATAGAAGCACACAAATGCTGTTCATTATTCATCTAATTCCTGCTAGTTGTGTAATTGGAAGCTGTAATCCTAAGGTTTATTTGGGGCCATGGCTGTAAGGACACAATGCTGTAAATTACAATTACCATCTAAAATTATAGAGGCCCAGAAAACAGTAGGAGTCTCATAAGTAAATTTCCCGTGTCTCAGCAGCAGTTGTAAAGGGCCAGGTTTTTATAGCCATTTCAGCTTCAGTCTGAATTAATATAGTTAGTTGTCCTTGTTGGGTTAGGGAGTAAGGACATTCTCATAATTGGGTTCTAGTGTTTATACATAAAATTCCTTTATCAATATTCCTTTTCCACTAATGTTCTACAACTTCCCTTGTTCTTCTTAGTTGGTCTCTACTCACTCAGAAATAACTAACTTATTAAGACAAACTACTTCCTTTTAACTTCTCTTGAAAATATACACATCCCACCCTGGCCAGCATGGCTCAGTTGATTGGAGCATTGTCTCATAAACCAAAAGTTTGGGGTTTCTATGGGACAACTGTAATTGAACAACAATAAAAAAAGTTAGGGGTTCAATCCCCAGTTATAGCACAGGCCTGGGTTGTGGGTTCAGTCATAGGAGATGCAACTGACTGATGTTTCCCTCCTTCTCTCTCTGCCTCCCTCTAAAATCAAACATGTCCTCAGGTGAAGATAAATATAAATGTGTGCGCACACACACACACACACACACACACACACACACAGATAGTCCAGGAAAAGTTCAGCCATTGTTAATATAATGAGAACACTTTGCACAACATCAATGTAACCTGGCATCCAAGGACAGTGGACTGAATGCACATGTGTCAACAATGACAACTTCACTTTACTAGTAAGGGGGTGGTAAATACCATTGAGTGAACATGTGTACTGTGTGATCATCACATTCAAAATGACTGAGTGAGTAAAGCAACAATTCTGCATCAAATTTTGCATTAAGCTTGAACATTCTTCTGTGGAAACTATTCAGATGATTCAAAAGGCTTTTGGGAACAATGCAATGAGTGCAGTGCAAATAAAAGTGGCACAAATGCTTCAAAGTTGGTCGACAATCTGTTGAAAGTGATCCACGTTCTGGAAGACGTGCAACAAGCAGAACACCTGAGCATGTTGAATGATTACAGGCTGCAATCAACAAAGATCGGTGACTGACAGTGCGAGAACTAGAAGCTGTTCTGGGGATTCCAAAAACCACT